TCAGAGGTTTGAAGACTGTCTATCTGTCTCAAATATATTTCTGTATATCTAGAAAACCTAACTTACCTAACTATAAATTCTGACTATTATAAGTAACTATCTATTGTCTGTATTTAATTATGCATTACATTTTAAAAGAACAGTATAAGTACAATACTTAGTCAAGAGGAGAAATATACTTATCACAAAATTGACCTTGATTTTGTCTCAATAAATGAAAAACAATACCCATACCATAGGAAAGAAGGGCTAAGGTGTGGGTTCAGATATCTCCCCCCCTTGGGTGGGTGTTGTCTGACTTGTAGCCTTGGCTGGGCTGAAGTTTACAGTGGAGGTCAGTAGTTCTAGGCAAAAGTCCTAGGAGCATGTGTTGAAAAGATAATTCTTGATACCTTTAAGGCATTGTCACTTAATTTCCTTGTCACTTCTCAAAAATTAATAGGTCATAGCCTGTCTCATAAAACCAAATAAATAAATAAATAAATAGGTCATAGATGTTTGGGGTTTATCTTTAAATTCTCACATATATTTACTTGTTATTTTTGATTTTTGGAGAGAAGGTCTGACTATATAGTCCTGGCTGCCTAGCACTTTCCACGTAGACCAGGCTGGCCTCAAACTCCTGGTGAGTTCTGGTTCTGCCCTCTGAGTCCTGGCATTACAGGCATGTGCTACACTCACTCTGAGTTCTCACTGGAAATGATTTATGATGCGTGTTCTTCCTTATGTCAGAGCTGTGCTCTGACTGTGGTAGCACGGTAAAGTCTGGGGTAGAGAGGGTTGGCTTCCAGCTTCTTTCCCAGACTGCGGTGGTGCTCTGGGCTCCTTCCATTCCATGTGAAGCTTAAGTTCATTTGTTCTTTTCTGTAGACAACAGCAAAGCAGTTCTTCAGATTTTGGTAGAGACGACTTTGCTTTGATATCTTAACTTTTCAAATCCTTCTGACATTTTTCGTGTTTGGGTCTTGGTTTTTATGCTGGTTCATGCAGCTTTGAGAATCTTTGCTAGCCTCCCTGTGACTCTCCGTTAGTGTATTGTGCAGATCCCTATGGACTTTGGTAGGATGAGAGGACTGAAGGATGCTACCTACCATTCTCTCCTGCAGCTGCCCCTAGTCTGCTAGAGTGCTGACATCCACACGGGCTCTTGGGTCTCAGTTAACTGCTCCTTTTGTTCTACCTGGGGAGCACATTCTTGGCCATTGCCACCATTCCTATCTGGGAGCAGATGCATCTTCTTAAAAGAGAGACGTTGGGTTGGTCTGTAACTTAACTTCTGTGCCTCACCAACCAGCTGCGTGGTCGGTTTTACAGACAATGTCAGCTCTTTCTGCTGTCTTCCTCTGCAGCCTTAGTTCACCTGTTTAGACCAGCAAAGTCACCACTCATCCATTCCCTTTCTTGGTTCTGTGGAACTGATTTCTTAGGCTGTTCATCAGCTTTTTCTTTTTACATTTATCTCTCACTGGTTCCTCATAGTTTTAGTCTATAGGGCAATTCTTTTTCTTTCTATTGTAGATTTTTGTTTTGTTTTTCAAGACAAGGTTTCTCCATGCAACCCTGGCTGTCCTGGAACTCACTCTGTAGACCAGGCTGCTCTCGAACTCAGAGAGATCCACCTGCCTCTGCCTCCCAAGTGCTGGGATTAAAGGTGTGCACGATCACATCCAGCTTCTATTGTAAATTTATAAAACGATGACATATTTATGATTTGGGGAGAAGGTGAGTTAGCTTGTGTCTTTCTAAGCCTTTATTTTTAGTCAGTGTCTATGGTGAAGTAATTTTGTAAAAAAAGAAATTAAGCTAGCAGGTAAAATACTGATTAGATCATTGGGAACATGATGTTTTTCTTTGTGCAGATACCTTTTAAAATACACACTAATGGAGATCTGTAGTTTGTTTAATTTGTACCACAAGAGTTTAATGTTTGTGTAAAATTGTAATGATTAAAGGTTTCGGTCAGGAATAAATTTGTATGAAATTTAGAAGGTGCATGTTTCTTTAAAACACAAAAGTGCATGTGCATGTTACTGTTCTGTTGTTAGTGTTATGCTGCTGTGCCCCTCCCCTCCTTATTCTGTTTCTCCCCTCTCTCTGCTCTTTGGGTGTCTAAGAGCACATGGGTCCTGAACTCAGCACCCACTTTGATTGAATAACTCCCGTGGAGCTAGCATTAGCGTCTTCCGAGACAGAGTATGTTGGTTGCTGTGAGAGAAGCATGCCAAAGATGTTTAACAGAAGTTCTAATGAAACAAAATGGGGCGGGGCTTAGGATCGGCCCAGGGTCTTGTGCATACTAGTCCAGTGTGCTCTGCACCGAGCTACACACCCAGTCCTCCAAAACATCTTGGGTTACAGCTTTGAGTCACTAATTTTTAGTGTTATTTCAATATTAGTCTAAAGTAGTTTTATGTTTCACGTGGGAGTCAGGTGTGGTGGAGCACACCTTTAGTCCAAATAACGAAGAGGCAGGTGAATCTCTGTGAGTTCAAGGCCAGCTTGGTCTACATAGTGAGTTCCAAGCCAGCCAAGGCTACACAGTGAAACCCTGTTTCAAAAAACCCAAAAAAATGATATGACTATATTATTTCATATAAATACTATGCCATATAATTTTTGGTTAATGTAGAAGGAATAATTACCTCAACCTTCATCATAACTACACTGTTAACAGTTTGGTGTGTTTCTTTCCAATATTTTTAAATTATATTTTCAAAAAATTAAAGTAATATGGTATTTTTTTCCAGTCCAAAAGTTATGTGTACTTGATGAGGATACTTGGAAAATAAAGATGAGCACAAGAGGAAAAAAATTCATAAAATCAACCCAAAGATAATCACAATCAAATTTTGTTGTTTATCTTTTTTATATTTTTCATGAACATATGCTTTTTTTTACTAAAATTATATACTATAATACTACTTTGTAACTGAATCATTTGCAATATATTGTGAATGTTTGCTAATGTTAATAGTCATAAACTTATAAGTAGTATGTAGCATATGAACATATTTAAGTATGTTTAACTAGCATACTTAACCATCTCCCTATTGTTGGACATTGAAAGTGTTTCTATTTTTTTACCATTATAAATATTACCATAGTTAATATCTTTGTCCATACATCTTTCCATGCATCTATGATTGTTTCTTTAGGAGTAGATTCCTAGAAGTGGAATAGCTGGGTCAAAGGGTATGTACACTTTAATGCTTTTGATACATACAAATGTCAAATTTAACTAACCATTGTTATATTCTGTCTTGTGTTGCTATTCAATTGTTTTGTGTTTCTGTCTTGTCTTTCTAATTGGAACATAAGTGAGAATAAGGGAAGTCTCTTGCATATGTTAGTATCCTTTGGCAGTATGGCTTCCTGTGTTGGACTCATATTGATTCAAAGAAGTGGTTCTTCAGGGTTTTGGATGTCGAAGTCTATACATTTAAAGATATGTGTGTGCGTATATCTATATCTAATATATATATTTAGAATAAATTTAGGTTTGCAAATTTCCTATTTTTCTAGGCAAGGACACTTAGAAATAAAACCAAATAAAATTTATATCCCCATCCTCTTAGGAAATAAGGAATATTTAACAAAAGGATAGACCTCTAAAGAGAACATTTTAGCTCTTTGTCCATATTTTTATCATTTTATATTGGGCTAGAAATTTTCACCTTAACCTAGAAGTGAACTAGAGACTACCATTTGGGTACCACAGACTTAGAAGAGATTAGAGCATTAAAAATAGGAACACTTTGCAATAGTATAATTTCCCCATGACTCTCTCCACAGTATTGTGAAGGTCATGCTACTGCTTTAAACAGAATTTGTGTTTCTCCGTGTCAGTATTTGAATAAGCAAGCAGACCTGCTGATGAGCATCTTAAAACAATGTCCATTTTCTTTCCAGGGAACTGGAGCCAGGGTAGGTGTGATGTAGTGGAAAGAAGGATGGTAGGCAGCTCCTTGCCTTCCGTCATCAGTTTTCCTTGTTTCCTTCCTAGCGTGGTGACTGTGATGGGTTTTTACAGCCCTTGTTACACTTACTTCACTGTACTGTGATTATTTGTTTATGCAAATCTTTTGCTTCTTTGCACATGTGTTCTTCCAGGTAGGATGAGTCATGCCCTTCTTTTGCAGCTCTAGGTCCCAACACAGGGATCCAGGCATAGCAGGTGCCTAATAAACTGAGTGCTGAGCCGCTGCTGGATTGTTGAGGGAATTATGTGGTATAATGTATGTGGAAGTGCTTCATAAACTGTGTGTTAACAAACAATGGTAATTTTCACTTTTGATAAGAGCGATTTTAATGGCGATTTGTAAAACTTTGGAGAGAGAAAACTGCTCCTTTGAACAGTTGTATAAGTGCATTACATTTTTCTGCTGTCTGTAAGAAAACAAGTTTTAATTGGGGTCAGTGTGGAGCTAATTTGCTTCCTAGGAAAGCAAAGTACTCCTCCTCCCTATGCTACATGGAGGTGCCCAGAAAGTAAATGTTTGACTTGATTATCATCTAATTTTAATTTTAATAAGACCAGCGGCTTTCTTATTATTAAAGCCAGTATCCATTGCTTCATAACTAGTAAAGAAGGGTACCAAGCCTTGAGCAGAGGAGCCTGTGTTGTGACTGATGCTTTTGGGTAGAGCTCCTGTCGGCTTCATTGGCTATAAAAGTCTGTTCTTTCTAATTGCTTCTAAAATTCCTGGTAAATTTTTGCCACAAGATGGCATTGGTGATTACTTGAGTATATATGCTATTGAAGCAGCTCAAAAAAGGTGCACGTGATTGCATTGTTTGGGGGATAAGAGTTGAAGACTTTCATCATTGCTTATGTATTATTTCATTTTAACTTCCAGAGTTAAATGATACCTTATATCACTTTCCTTCTGTATTCAAGTATTGTTTTGTTTCCTGTTTTTCTGTCTTTATAATACAGTAACTATGTATTATTTGCCATGTGTTGTATGTGTCTGACTGACTGCTGATAATTGTGGTGACAGGTAAGAAGAAAATACGATGGGACCCAGTTAGGAGACGCTTCATTCAGTCCTGTCCCATCATAAGGATCCCTAACAGGTTCTTGAGAGGTGGGTGATAATAGCAAGAGGTCTGTGCTTCCTGTGGGTTGAAGGGAATTTTGAATGGATTTTCTAAATTCAAAACTGTTTTCTTTAAGTTGTCTAACAGCCAACATTGAAGTAAAATATTTTAGGCCTCAGTTTTAAATTTATGTTTTTTTATTGACCACTGTTGGAATTGTAATGACAAGTTTGGGGGAAGTTAGACTCTCCTAATGTATCCAAGATGGTAGAGTAGATCACCTCTCCAGTGCCAATGGCAGTCCATATAACCTTCCAGTGTAGGGTGTGATTCTAAGGGACACATAGGAGATGATGTGACATCTAGACTACAACCTCTGTATTAAAAACTAAATAAAAAGTCACAGAAAGCACTTGTAACAGGTGATTAATGTGAATATAAAGAGCTCCTAGAAACTAGACATCTATACCTACTGGAAAAGTAAGGAAATGCATAAGAATAGTCAGTACATAGAGAAATCCTAGCGGAGGAGCACAAGATGGCTCAAGCTTGGTGATCTGAGTTTATTTCTGGAACCCACATGGTAGAAACAAAAGTTGCCCTCTGACTTCCACACATGTTCTGTGGCACAAGCATGTGCATGTACACACAACACATGCAATTTATGAATAAATAATACATGTATATAATAAAATGTTAAAAATAAACACCAGTAAATATAAACCTCACTTAATTCACTACTGTGAAATAAATATAATAATTAATATAATCTTTTACTTATTAGATGAGAAGATTAAAGTAAAACTACCTATGTTGGCAAGGATATGGGAGGAGAAAGCTTAAATGCTGAGGTTTTATGCAGGACCCTTTGGACCTAACTCTTGAAAGCTGCGGTGCTTTTGATTGGCAGCTCCTCCTTCTAGGCAGGCCACATTGCTTCTGCTTACCACCTTTTTATCAGCTGTGGACTGTCCTGAGTGAAACATTGCTCAGAAGAGGATTGAAAACTCTAGCTCACTTCTTGTTATTTTAGCTATAGCAAATTATCAGACAAGCCCGCTTGATGTTGTACTTTAGACCTTATTAAATTACTTACAAGTCATTTCATCTAATTTTAACGGAAGATATTTAATTAGAAAGTATACCTTTAAAGCAGGCAGAACAGTGAGTTCCAAGACAGATTGGTCTACATACCAAATTCCAAACCAGCCAGAGTTAAACAAAAAGTTAATGTCTAAGGAAAAGTTCTATAGCCTGCTATAGATGTTTCTATATCTAGCATCTAACCGATTTTTGGCAGCCAAAACATGAAAAAACTAAAGCCAGGCCTAAAGACAATCAGTGATAGTGAGCCACCTTCCACCATTCCAAAAGAAAAGTAATTAGGATATAGAGTTCAATGAAAAACATGTGTGAGGCTGGAGAGACAGCTCAGAGAATAAGAGCACCTGTGCTCTTGTGGAAGAAAGACCCAAGCAGTTGCCCGCACCCTCGTGGTGCTCACAGGCCTTTATACCAGTCCCAGAGGGTCTCATGCTCTCCTTTGGCTTCTGCCAGCATTAGGAATGCAAGTAGTACACATAATTGCAGCAAACACTTAAACACATTAAAAAACTTTAAAAATTGTGTAAAATCCTATAAAAAATATAAAATGACCAAAGAAGTAGCAAAAACAAAACAAACCTTGGTTATATCTGCATGGTAGGGTTTTTGGTTTTTGCATAGTCTCCATTTAAAAACATTTTAACCATGGAGAAACAATCTGCACAGGTAAGTTTTATACCATTGGACACTTGTAAGTCTGAGAAAATTGGTGATAGATAGTTCTGAACTAGTGAGGTGGGAGCAGGGTCAGGGTTAGGTTTAAAGATCACCACAAGCCTTGTCTGTCTTCTCACCTTTGACCAGTTTGAGTGTTCGATGCTGTTGGCCACCTGCTTTTTCTCTTGGGGTCACCACACTGTCTGCTCCTAGATGTTTTCTTCTTCCTCTTTGTCCATTTTGTTCCCTTCCCTGGTTTCTTATCCCATCCACTAGCGGGAATTCAGTGTTCTGTCCTTTCTCCATGATCTCTATTGTCCCATCAGCTTTCTTAGGGTTAACTCTCTGTTCATCATTCATTTCTTCATTGGGTACTCTGGGTTGCTTCCTATGTGGCAGTTACTGTACTTCAGCTGATGATGGTCTTACTTAGAGAACCAGGTAAACAGATAATTACACAGTAATTGGGATGAAATTATTTGTGATAAATGTCCTAATAAGGTGGTTTGGCATGGTGCACACCAAAGAAGTTTCTTATCAGCAAATGGATGACAGAATAGTGTCATTTCATTATTTTTTTTTTGTTTTTTACGAGACAGGGTTTCTCTGTATTGTTTTGGAGGCTGTCGGTCCAGCCTGGCCTGGAACTCACAGAGATCCGCCTGCCTCTGCCTCCCCAGTGCTGGGATTTCTTTTTTTTTTTTTCAAGAAAAGTTGCTTAAATTTGAGTGGGTTTTTGAAAGGGAAGGGTAGACCTGCAGACCACAGGTGCCAGGTAGCTTGAATATGGTGTTTATGCAGACCCAGGCATGCATGGTGCTTTCAAAGGTTTACAGCAAGTTTAGCACAGTGGCAGCTAGAAGCTCGAAAAGGCTAACTAGAAGGAGCACCACTGTAGAATTTTCAGGATCAGACTCGGTTTTGTGGCTAGTAAAGAGATCATGATTACACTTACCTAGGCGAGGAGAGTTGCAGCCTGAAATGAAGGTGGCTGTAATAGGTATTGGGGGATGGGTAGGTAATTCCAACTATGTATGCGCTGAATTAGATGAGACTTGATCACTAACTGACAAATAGGAGGGAAAGCAGTGACTTCAGGGGCTGGAGAGAGGGCAGTGGTTAAGATGGCTCACTGGCTGCTCTTGCAGGAGACACACTCTATTGGCCTCTTCAGGCACCAGGCACACACATGCATACCGAAGACAAAATGCTCATACACATAGAATAAAAATAAATCTTTTTTTAAAAAGCTTCCAGATTTTCTATGTGACTTGTGCTACTCTTCTCGAGGCATGGCATAGATAATCACAGGGCAGATTTTAGGAATAGGTGATACACTCCCATTAATCTGCAATTCAGTAGTTGTAGTTGATTATCCCTTAACTAAGAAGTATTTCCAGAACAACCTCCATTCTTTCTTAATTTTTTGTTTGTTTGAGACAGGGTTCTTCTGTGTAGCACTAGCTATCTTGTAACTAACTTTGTAGATCAGGCTGGCCTCGAACTCATGGAGATACTCCTGCTTCTGCCTCAGGAAGCAAAGTCGTGGACCACCACCATCAGGCTAAACTTCTGATTCTTTTTTGGGGGGTGGGTTTCGAGACAGGATTTCTCTGGGTAACCCTGACTGTCCTGGACCTACTCTGTAGACCAGGCTGGCCTTGAACTCACAGAGATCAACCTACCTCTGCCTCCTGAGTGCTGGGACTAAAGACATTCTACACCACTGTCAGGCTAAACCTGTGATTCTTTAACACTAAATTTAACAGTTTTTTTCCCAGAAAACTTGGAAGGCCTGTCCCCTCTCTGTTCTGATGTCATCTTCGTGTACAACCTGTATCAGCACTGATCACAAGGAACTCTGCTCACTCGTGTGTGCCTCCCTGAGCTCAGGCTGGATACTCTACAAGAATGGGCCAGTAGAATAGCTGCTCTGACTTCTCCATCTCCATTGGGTAGCACAGTGCAAGTGAGGGTATATTGAGTTAGATCTAATTATAAAACTGTTGCCAGGGAAGAGCACAGGTGTAGGTTTTAGTATGTCCTCAGCTGTTCGCAGTTGTAGTGGTAAGTTCATGGATTGTTGAAACACAAAACACACTTGTTCAGTGGCCCATTGGGTGTTTTCTTAAAAAACAACAACCTTATTTATACTTTAGAAATAGTCTTTTTTCAAGCCTTTCATTTTGGGAATCCTTTATCTTGGTTGAAAGCAGTTTCATAGGTCTGATTTTGTAACTAAGATCCTACGTCTTCTCAAAACAGATTCCTGCCAATTAACAGTGTGGTGTGGTAAAAATAGTTCGGGTATATTAAAATGCTGAGTTTCCATCATGAAGTAGTAAACTAACTGAAAGTATCTACGTACCTTCTTCAGTTTTCCAATACCATTGAAGATGAAAAAAAAAAACCTGAATGATGATGTTATTGTTTTGTATTGAAAAGGGAAGTTTGGAGTCAGATTGTCTGCATCTGAACCCAGGCTCTGCCATTTGCCAGCTGTAGGACTTTGGGCAAGTGCTTGCTTATTTATTTTATTTGCCTTAGTTTTCTTATATGTAAAGTTAGAATGGTGATACTAGTATCTATTTACAGGGAGAAATATCAAGAGAGAATGTTTGCAAAGTTTTTAATTATGTTTAGGAACATTTAGTTAATGTTATCTGCTAGTTTTTCTTGTACAATACCAGGAGTTGTAAGGAATTTCAGTGTAATTAAAAACAAGTGGGTGGTGGAGGGTGGAGCCTGATAGAGCACTTGCCTACATGAATTCAGTTCTCAGTACTGCAAAGCTCATTGAAAACTAGGCAAGTTGTCACATGCTTGTATCATGGAACGTGGAAGGTAGAGGCAGGAGGATCAGGAATTCAGGTCATCATCAGCTATATAGTAAGTTCTAGAGCATCCTGGGCTACATGAGGCTGCTTTTAAAAACTGGAATTATATCACATGGGAAACCAACACTGAGTATAATGTTGTTCTTGATGTGTGATTACTTCAGAGACTTTGTTTTTATTTATTTTAATTAACTTTTTTTGAGACAAAGTCTCACTATGTAGTTCTAATTGGCCTGTAGTTTACAATCTAGGCCAGGCTAGCTTTGAACTCACAGAGATCTGCCTGTCTCTGCCTCTTGAATGCTGGGATTAAAGATGTGCGCCTCCACTACTGGCCTCATGGTGTTTTGCTGTTGTTGTTGCTGTTGTTTTTAAGTCTCAGTAAGTATATACCTTGATGGCTTGGAACTCAACTCTACAGGCCAGGCTAGCCTTGAATTCATAGAATC